TTCCCAGCGGCAGACCTCCCCCCACCACCCCATGGGGCGCCCCTGAGGATCGGGGGCGGGTGTGGGGCCGGCCCATCAGGGGAGCCGCCCAGCATAGTCACCACCCCCCCTCCCCCCACGCTCCCCTCAGTCTCCCTCAGCGGACTCTGGGGTCGGGGGCAGATGCCCAGTGGACACCTCCAGCCTCAGAGGAACGGGGCAGGCTGGGCTCCTGCTGACTCCTGGGTAGGTGGGGTGTGACTGTGACTCCCCTTCCCCTGCTCTCCATCGGAATGTCCGGGACCCCTCCTCCCCTGAGGCCCACTGCAGGGAAGCTGGTCCCTCGGAGCTCATTCTAGGGACGAGTCTTTCTGGGGAGTAGGGACAACCGCTCCCTCTCAGCTGAGCCGAGGAGGCGGGTCAGCACCCCTGGACACCCCGTGCCCAGTTTCGTGTTGGGCGGGGTGTCATCCCATGGGAGTGAGTTGGGCTCCTCAAACTCCGGAGATGTCCCCAGGCACGAGACACAGGACCGAACCTCCCAGAAAGGGCCAGGGGTCTGGCTGCAGGTGGGGGACTCGGCACGGATGGCAGGCGTCCGGAGCCCCAGCACGGCGTCCCGAAAGGGCACCCGGCTCTGCCCAGGAGAGACGGGGACAGCCGGACGGGTCCCCGCGCGAGGCGCCCCAGGAGCGGGCCCGGGAGCTTCAAGCGAGCCCAGTGGTGCAAGTGGGAGCACCGCGGCGGGGCGGACCCCCAGGCAAGACCCAACTCCCCGCGTCCCCGCGCCGCGCGGCACTGCGCTGTCGGGGGCCTTACCTGACCGCGCTTCGGGCGCCCTCGTCGGACTCGTCCCGAGCGAAGAGGCTCCGGGTCCTGACCGCGCGAGACGGCGCCGAGTGGGCAGAAGGAGGGGCGGCGGGAAGGGCCGCCGCCAGACCCCGCCCCCTCCCCTCCCCGCGCCCCGCCCCCCCGCCCCTCCGCGGCCCGACGGCGGCCACCGGGCGGCGCTGCGGCCACGCGGATGGCGGCAGGGTGGGGCCGGGAGGCGACCCGAGGGGACAGCGGTGCGGAAGAGAAGCCCCTCTGCGGTCCCTGCTAAGTCAGGACCCCTCCCTGTTCTTGGGATGCTGCTCCGACTGGACACCTGCCCACCTCCCTGCTTGCTGCCCACTCCCCCATTTCCTGGCGACCTGGAGTGTCTACTACCGGGCTTGGGGCGCCTCACTCACCCCTCACTCGGCCCTCGGAGGAATGGCCCTGGGAGGCTGCAGAGTCCTCCCGCCAAGGGGACTTCCCAAGTGCCCCCTTGCTCAGAACCGGCGGGCTGGGGTCTCGTTCCTTGCTCAGGGACACGCAGCTCTGTTGACCCATGGATCACAATGTGTGTCTTGCCCCGCCACCCAGAGGTGAAGGGCCGGCCTGGAGGGGCTTGAGTGGCCAGGATAGCGGGAGCCTCAGGCTCTCTAGGTGGAGAGGAGGGCCTAGGGGACTGGCAGACCATTACCCTGTGAGAACCCCAGAGCTGCTCTTGGGACTGGGCCCTGGGGCCTCTGTGATGTCCCTGCCTGCGCATAGTGAGAAGGGGTCCCTGGTAGGGCTGTGGTGGGGGGTGCCACTCCCCAGGACCAGTGCTCCTCCTGGAGGAGGGATGCAAATGGGACTGGGGGCAAGGTCCCTGGCTCGGGGACGGGGCGCCTCACCAGCACCCTTGAAGCGGGCCAGGCAGCTGAAGGTGTCTGCTTGGCCATTGCTGGTCTGTGACTGTCAGGCCCTGGCCGAGTTATGTCGAGATGCTGAATCTGGGTGGGGACGTGCAGGCCTGGTCAGAAGGAAAGAGGCCACGTGTTAGGACTGGCGAGGGAGCCTACAGGTGCCGACTGTAGTCCTGGGCTGGATTTGAGGGTCCTTGACCCAGAAGGACTTCCCAGGTGACACTAATGGTGAAAGAACTTGCCTGCTAATGCAGGAGATGCAAGAGACATGGGTCAGTCCCTGGGTCGGGAGAAGGAAATGGCAACCCATTCCAGTATTCTTGCCTGGAGAATTCCTTCGACAGTGGAGCCTGGTGGGCCATAGTCCATAGAGTCGCGAAGAGTTGGACATGACTGAAGCAACTTAGCACACATACACTGCCCAGAAGCCAGGACAGATTAGAGAAGCAGGAAAGCTGGACTCAGAGGTACTGTCTTGGAACGCAGGATTTAATCTCCCAGCAGTCTTCAGGTCACAGGACAGAGTCAATTCTGGGATGACTCACAGAGGCCTGGAGAAAGTGCTGGCCCCTGGTGAGCAAAAAGGAAGCGCTGAAGCCATCCTGGTGGAAGGTGGAGGGAGGAACAGACAGGCCCCAGGCTGTGCCAGGTGCAACACCCTTGTCATGGGTTAGTGAGGCCGTTGGCCAGTGATCACGTCCTTTTCCATCCCAATTACCAAAAGAGGCTCAGACACAGTTTGCAGTCATGTGGGGGCACAACAGTGCTCATTTATGGTTTAGCCTCAGGGCAGTGCCAACTCTCTCCTCTGTCCTAATGCTGGACATCCCCCCAGGACAAGACAGGCCCCTCACACTGAGGTCATCTCACACTGGTCAGGATGGGCCAGGAGGCTAGTGGGCAGGGGGCCTTAAGACATGTGTGCCCTAGAGGTGCGAGAGGAGCCCTGTGAAATACAGGGAGCTGTTCTTCATGCCAGTTGTAGGGGCTGTTGGCCAGGGCATGCTCAGATGTCCCCAAAGAGAAGGACAAGTTGCTGTCCCTTGGGTCCCCTTCCGAGGCCGAAGCACAGGCCTGGCAGGCCTCTTAGGTTCTGGAGGCGGCACCTTCCACTCTTAGGCATACCACTCGACCCTGTGTGTTGGGTGACTCAGACGGAGGGCAGCTTTGAGGGCGTCAGTTCAGTTCAGTCGCTCAGTCCTGTCTGACTCTTTGAGACCCCATGAACCGCAGCACACCAGGCCTCCCTGTCCATCATCAACTCCCGGAGTCCACCCAAACCCATGTCCATTGAGTCGGTGATCTCATCCTCTGTCATCCCCTTCTCCTCCTGCCCTCAATCTTTCCTAACATCAGGGTCTTTTCAAATAAGTCAGCTCTTCGCATCAGGTGGCCAAAGTATTGGAGTTTTAGCTTCAACATCAGTCCTTCCAATGAACACCCAGGACTTATTTCCTTTAGGATGGACTGGTTGGATCTCCTTGCAGTCCAGGGACTCTCAAGAATCTTCTCCAACACCACAGTTCAAAAGCATCAATTCGTTGGCATTCAACCTTCTTTATAGTCCAACTCTCACATCCATACATGATTACTGGAAAAACCATAGCCTTGATTAGATGGACCTTTGTTGACAAAGTAATGTCTCTGCTTTTTAATATGCTGTCTGGTTTGGTCATAACTTTTCTTCCAAGGAGTAAGCGTCTTTTAATTTCATGGCTGCAATCACCATCTGCAGTGATTTTTGAGCCCCCAAACATAAAGTCAGCCACTGTTTCCACTGTTTCCCCATCTATTTGCCATGAAGTGATGGGACCAGATGCCATGATCTTAGTTTTCTGAATGTTGAGCTTTAAGCCAACTTTTTCACTCTCCTCTTTCACTTTCATTAAGAAGCTCTTTAGTTCTTCTTCACTCTCTGCCATAAGGGTGGTGTCATCTGCATAGCTGAGGTTATTGATATTTCTCCCAGCAATCTTGATTCCAGCTTGTGCTTCATCCAGCCCAGCATTTCGCATGATGTACTCTGCATATAAGTTAAATAAGCAGGTTGACAATATACAGCTTTGATGTACTTCTTTTCCTATTTGGAACCAGTCCATTGTTCCATGTCCAGTTCTAACTGTTGCTTCCTGACCTGCATACAGGTTTCTCAGGAGGCAGGTAATGTGGTCTGGTATCCCCATCTCTTGAAGAATTTCCCACAGTTTATTGTGATCCACACAGTAAAAGGCTTTGGCACAGTCAATAAAGCAGAAATTGAGGGCGTCAGGGAGCAGGAATGTCTGTGCAGCAGGCCTGGGCCGTTGGCCCTGCACTTGGACCTGCGGTACTGGAGGTGTCGGTGGGCAGGTGCCCTCGGGCTGTGGGCAGGCCCTGGACTCTGGAGCGAGGTTGTGTGTCTGTGGATGATACTCATTTTTGGAGAAATGCTTCCTGACTCCCGAGCATGGGGAGCAGACTGGCCTTGCAGCTCTCTGCCCTGGGGCGTCCGTCGTCAGGGGTGCTGGGCACTTGCAGTCTCCTGGAACACTGCGTTCCCCCGCTTCCTCCGTGGAGGGAGCCATCAGCTCAAGGCCGGCTGTGCTTGCTGCTCTGTTTGCCTGTCCAGGCAGTCATGACATTGTCAGTTACTCAACGGCTTCCTACTTCTCGAGGGGGAGCTCCCCGCCAGGCACTATCTGTGTGCAGCTTTTGACACCTGCTGTCCATGCCCTCCTGCCCTCGCTGACAAGGAAACAGGTCTGAGAGTGGACATAACCTTCCTGGAGAGAGAACCTCAGCCTTGGAGGTGAGGGTGGTCTCCTGAGCCCTCCACCTGCAGGGCCGTGCCTGGCTTCAACATGGAGAACGGCTGCTGAATCAGCGAATCCGTGAACCTCGGAAGTGCAGGCATTGCAGGGCCTGGCGATTCTGTGGAGATTCACGGGACTGAGATCCTCAGGGTTGCCCGCTGCGTCCAGCCCACCTTGGCTGTGGGGGTGGGGGGTGGTCTGCGAGGTGTGGGACAGATCTCAGACCACAGCAGTGAAACCAGACACCCCATGTGTCCCTGGAAGGACCTCCTGCTCTGGCTTTATTCAGCCTCTATGATCCTTGAGCCCAAGGAGCCTCCCCTTGTCAGAGCCAGGACGTGCGAGGGGGCCGTCCTGATGTCCTAGAATTGCAGCTGGGCAATGTCTGCTCCCCACCTGTCAGTCCATTTGCAGGCTGACAGTGGGGGTGGAGCTCAGGTCATGCTGTCCCCTTGCTCCTGTGCCACTGTTCTCTCAGGATTCTGAGGTGCAGAAGGGTGTGGGGGCACTCAGGTCAGCCCTTGGCCTTGGGCAGCTGTCTGCACTGGGATGGCTGCCCGGTCCGGTCCGCATCCATGAGGGGCCTGGCTCGGTCAGAGGCTGGGGGGTCTCGGCTCCGAGAGTTTCCAGGAGGAAGCCAGGTGCCAGGGCCGCTGTAATCTGTGGGGAGGGGTGTGGAGACAAGCTGCATGAAGGGAGTGGAGAGCCTAGTCCCAGGCCTCAGCAGTGTAGACACGCCAAGGCCTGGGACCAGTGACTCCAGGAGATGCGTGTGTGCTTGCAGTGGGGGAAGGAACGATGCTTGGCTGTGGGCCCTGCTGGCCATTTCCTCCTCTGCCCACACGTTCTCAGGCCCAGGGAGGCCTTAAGTGTTTCCGTATGGACAAGCCCTCTGTGGCTTTCTCATGTTCAGGGCCTATTGTGGGACCGTTCTGGGTGGTGGGTGGGACTCTCACAGCCCAGAAATGCATTCAGAAGATGAGTGAGGACTCACATTTTCCTTTGCTCGCTCTCAGGGCTGACAGAGCTAACTCCCGCTCTCCAGGGAGACACGCAGAAACAAGACCTGCCATTAGCAGCGAGGCCGAGAGTCAATGTGTCAGTTCGGATCCCATGCCAGCGGGAGAGCCTCAGCTTTCATGGTTTTAAGCCAAAGCCACTCACTGGTCTGGACCATCTTAGCGGGGTTGGGCAGTGGGGCGCTTGTATTCATGACAACCCCGGGGCCCTGTGACAGCTCAGCATGGGCCACCGTCCACCTTTCTGGTGGGAGCCAGAAGAGCAGTGAGCCCTGGTGAGGGGCCCGCAAGGGGCCAGGGCACGGGGGTGGCAGGAAGGTCAGGGGACTTGTGCTGGCAGGTGAGAGGAAAGGGGCTGTGAGTGCCTGGTGGACTTGACCCAGCCACGTGACACTCCTGAGGGGTCTTTACTTGTCCTGCACGTCTGGTCATGTCTTAGGAAGTGAAGCCAGGCTGACGATAGCATCCTGAGCGCTCCCTTCACACGTCTGACTAATGGATCCTGTGTTGTGAGAGCCTCGAAGTTAAGAGACTGGTGCTCATAGGGAGTGTAGGTGGGGGAAGAAATTTCCAGGTCTTGAACGTCTAATCTCCCCAGCAGTGGTGGTTTTCCCCCTCTGCCACCTCTGGGTACTTATAAACTACATGAAATTAGTTTACAAAATGCCTCAAAATATTTATGCCTCCTCCTGACCAGCCATGCTGTCCTGAACGGAAAGGGCCCAGAACGTCATGCAACTCAACTTCTGCTGGTTCAGGAAGGCCACTCTGGGATGCCAGGGCTGGCCTGGATGGTTGGGGTGTGGGATGGCCAGGCAGCCACACCACAGGGCTTCTCACTGCAGGTCTGCCTCAGGGGCCAGGTGGCCAGACCCCCAAAGTCTGAGCAAAACTGTCCCATGCACATCTTCCAGGAAAGAGGACCCACAAGTTTCATGGTATTCTCGAAAGAATAAGTAATTCCAAAGGCATTGCAGATTTTCAAAGAACTGGGACTGAAAAAATTATACAAAAACCATGTGAAACAAAGTTTAGTCTTTTTAAGATGACTTAGGAGGTCCAGAGGGGTCATACCACCACCGTGACCACCATCACCCCCCACTGTCACCCCTGCTGTGACGACCACACCCCCACCTTCACTACCACCTCACCTCCACCCCCATCACCATCATGATCTTCACTACCACTGGCACCACCACCTTTGGATCCAGGATGGGATTGCTTAGAAGTCCTGCAGGGTTGTCTGTTGGCCAGGGTCTTGACTTTCAGTGGTCAAAGCAAGACACAGGACTACTATGACTCAAGAATGGAAGTGTGGGAAGAGGTGCAGAGGTTCTGTGACTGTGGTTAGTCTATGCTCCCACCACAACTGAGGCCCTCTCCCATTGCTGCCTCCATCCTGTTTGTCTCTGTCATGCTCTCTCCCCAGGCAAGTGCTGACCATTTCAGGGGCTTATATCTTTAGAAAGTTACAGCCTCTGTTCTCAAAGGTCTTACCATGTGAGTGAAGATGAAAGACACTCATAATGGGTGTGCTCATGTTGGAGTGCTAACCACATGTTCCAGGTGCAGGAGTGTCCTTATCAGTTGTGTTTAATTTCCATGGCCTTTAAAATTTTAGTAATTAAAAAATTTTGACCAGTGTTTGACCCTAAATGTTTATAACATTATTTATTTATTTTGGAGCAGATCATGCGAGTTCATTGTGCAAAATTCAAAAGGTGCAACAGGACATAGAATAGAAAACAGACCTTCCTCTGAGCCCACTCTGCAAGGCCTGACTGGGGAGAATCACTGCCAAGTTCCACAGGGGACACTTCAGACACTGCCCATCGTCATTCTCTTAATATTTAGTTTAGTGTACGCCTGGTGGTAATACATCTTTTCAGGTTTCACTTGTCTCTACAATGTTTTATTTAGCCTTCAGTTTTGAAGTCTGTCTCCTAGGCAGAATTCCGTCTCAGCTAAATGACAGAGAAGACAGGCATCGTCTTCAGGCTTCCAGATTTGTGGGAAGTCTGTCTTTCTGTGGTTCCTTTGAAGATAATGTGCCTTTCTTCTTTGGTTGCTTCTACGATGTTCTGTGTTTGGTTTATAGCTGTTTTCCTGTGACATGCCTAGGAGTGTTATTCTTTGCATTTATCCTGGTTGGCATATGTAGATTCCTGTGTGAACTTGTAGTATATGCCTTTTTATCAGTTTTAGAAAATTCTTGGCTGTTATCTCTTCACATACTGCCGCTGCCCTATTCTGTCTTTTTTCTCCATCTGGGCCTTAAGTTTCACATATATTAGATATTTTCATCATTTTCATTTATCTCTGATGCTCTTTTCTGTATTTTCCATTTCTCATTTATCCTTCAGTCTTGACCATTTCCTACTGATCATTTTCAACTTTTGAATGATTTTATCTTCTCTTTCACTGTGTCTAATCATTGTTAATCCCGTCCATTGAGTTCTTACTATTAGTCATTATTTTTTTAATTTTTGGAATTCCCATTTTATCTTCAATTTCTAGATTACAGTTCTCTTATTCAGTTGGCTATCTCACCTTCCATTTTATGGGGAAAAAATAATATCTCAATATTAATAATATGATATATTAATCACATTTAAAGTTAACATACGATAACTCTGAAACCAGAGGCACTTGTGGATCTGTTCCCGCCCCCCCCCCCCCTCCCCGCCCCGCCATATAGTCCTGTCTCTTGACTAACCTGGTGATTTTTTATTAAATGCTGGACATTATTTGTGAAAGATTATAGAAGTTCTTCTTAATATTATCTTCCTTTTTATAGGGTTTACTTTTATTTTAGTGGAAAGTTAGTTTAGGGACAGATAACCTTTTTCTAATCAGGAACTGATGTAATTCAAATCTAGATTTATGCCTTTGTGAAGAATGGTATATTATCACCACTTCTTCCTTACTTTTAAACAACTTTCTAAGTGACCCAGTTGAGAGTGTGGCATATTTACCAAGACTTCTGTTCTTTTGAAGGTCCAGAGTTCTAGGTGTTGAACTGAGATAATCGCAAAGATGATGCATAGCTTAAACAAAAAACAGATTTATTGAGGTGTATTTTACATAATAAACTTCATCCTATTCAGGTGTGCAATTCAATGGTTTTCAATAAAGTTGCCAAGTGGTGTAATAATCAACACAAATTAGCTTTAGAACTGTTTCATCGTACCAACAAGTGCCCTCAGGCTCATTTACAGTCAACCCTTTCCCACCTCAGCCCCAGGAAACCACTAGTCTACTCATCTGTATGGATTTGCCTTTTCTGAGTGTTTCACATAAAGGGAATCATATAGGGATTTCCCTGGTGGTCCAGTGGTTAAGACCACACTCCCAATTCAGTGGGATCAGGTTCAATCCCTGGTCAAGGAACTAAATCCCATACGCTTCACACTGCAAACAAACAAACAAACAATGGAATCATATAACACATGAACACTTGTGTCTGGCTTCTTTGGCATAATGTTTTTGAGGTTCATTCATGTCTCAGCGTGTTTCAGTAGTTTATTCTTACCAAAGTACAGTAGTTTTTCTTGAATAAATTCTTCAGATTGTTGTAATCCTTTGGTTAACCTCCAGAGCTCAGAAAAAGTTAATTTAGATACTTTTGTCAGCTACTTCATTGCTTGTAAGAAGGAGTGAATTCACAGAGGTGCTCACTCCATCATTCCTGAAGTCTTGCCTTATAATTTACTTTTGTATGTAGATCCTGTGCCTTGCTAAATTCACTCATTAGTTCTTGAAGCTTTTTTTTTTTTGGTAGATTTCATAGAATTTTCTAAGTACAAAGTAGGGTCATCTGTGAATAGACAGTCTTACTTTCCAACCTAGATTTCCTTTATTTCCCTTTCTCACCTTTATGCACTGGTGAAACCTCCCATTCAATGTCGCATAGCGGCAGTGAGAGGGGACATTGTTACCCGAGTTTAGAGACAGCCTTCTGTTTTCATATTAAATCTGATATTAGCTGTGGAGTAATTTTGGTTATTGTTGATGATGTTCTTTATTAGGTTGAGAAAAGTGAGTGTTAGTCACTCAGTCGTGTCTGACTCTTAGGAACACTCTGGACTGTAACCTGCCAGGCTCCTCTATCCATGGAATTCTCCAGGCAACCATACTGGAGTGGGTAGCCAGCCATTCCTTCTCCAGGGGATCTTCCTGACCCAGGGTTTGAACTGGGACTTCTGCATTGCAGGCGGATTCTTTATTGTTTGAGCCAAAGTTACCCTCAGTTCCCAGTTTTGTTAGTGTTTTCATAAACAAGTATCATATTTTGCCAAATATATTTTCTGTGTTTATTGAAGAGATCAATTATGTGCATCACCATTTTCTGTTATATTGTCTGATATTTAAAAATCTTAACTCAAAATTGCATTTTGGGGATAAACCCACTTGGTCATGGTTTTGGAAATTGGTAGGTTCAATTTCTAAGGCTCTACATTCTATATTCATCAGAGATGTTGCTCTGTGCTTTCCTTTTAATACCTTTGTCTGGTTTTGGTATCAGGGTAATCCTGGCCTCATAAAATGAGTTGTGAAGTGTTCCTTTTCCTCTGTATTTTGGAAGAGTTTATATAGGATTGATGCTGCTTCTTTCTTAAATGGTTGATAGAATTCTTCAGTGAATCCCTCTCAGATAGAGAATTCAATTTCCTTAATAAATACAGGACTATTTCTTCTTGAGTTAGTTTAGAAAAATTTGTGTCTGTCAATGAATTTGTTTCATGTAAGTTGTCTAGATTAAATGGCATAATGATGGTCATTGTTTTTTTTTTTTCTTCTTTCTTTTTTTTGAAACTGAAGTAGAGAGAGAAGAACTCTCTACATTATTGCTTAAGAACCAGGGATAAAACAATTCTGAAACCTGTAAGCCCAGGGTCTTCTGAGTGTGAGTCCTATTGTGTTGGCAGCTTGTTGGAACTTTGTTGATGCTTCTCTAGTCTCTCATCATCACGTTTCTTTCTTGTTCCTTATTTTCTGTCTAGTGTCTTTTGGATCTCTAGTGGTGTTGTCTCTTTCGTTCTGATGTTGATAATTTGTGATGTCCCTCTTTTTAAAAATCAGTATAGGTAGAGTTTTATCAAATGTTTTGATCTTTTCAGGCAATCAGCTTTTTGTCTTGGTGATTTATCTTTCATTTGTCTGTTTTCCACTTCGGTGCTGGTGTGTCTGAGCCTGACTTCCCTGTGTGGCTGGGCCCGTCTCTCTTCCTGAGATGATGTGCAG